TCGATGGCGCTGGGCGAGGGTATGGTGGACGAGATGCCAAACCTTTCCTGGGAATATATGAACGGCAGCTTATTGGGGAACGCAAGCAGAATTAACGAATCCCTGGTGAACCGGACCGAGAGCGGACCTCCGCCCTTCCTGACCGACGCCTGGCTCGTGCCCCTCTTCTTCGCCTTGATCATGTTGGTGGGGCTGATTGGGAACTCTCTGGTCATCTATGTCATATCGAAGCACCGGCAGATGCGTACGGCGACCAACTTCTACATCGGTGAGTAGCTGGGAGGTCCCCGAGGAACATGGAGAAGAATGTTCACCCAAAACCATGGTGGGCTAAATGACCCCCTTATAAGTCTTGGAAGCTCCAACATTGAACCCTCCCGGCCCTAATTCCCAACTCCGCCCACCTGGGGGTTTGGGGCTTTCCACCCACCCTGTGTACAGACCCGGGAACTCAGCACAGGGATGGTGGGGGCCCCTCATAATGGGCACAGCGGGTGTACAGACCCGGGAACTCAGCACAGGGATGGTGGGAGCCCCTCATAATGGGCACAGCAGGGGTACAGACCCGGGAACTCGGCACAGGGACGGTGGGGGCCCCTCATAATGGGCACAGCAGGGGTACAGACCCGGGAACTCAGCACAGGGATGGTGGGAGCCCCTCATAATGGGCACAGCGGGTGTACAGACCCGGGAACTCGGCACAGGGACGGTGGGGGCCCCTCATAATGGGCACAGCAGGTGTACAGACCTGGGAACTCAGCACAGGGATGGTGGGAGCTCCTCATATTGGGCACAGCGGGTGTACAGACCCGGGAACTCAGCACAGGGATGGTGGGAGCCCCTCATAATGGGCACAGCGGGTGTACAGACCCGGGAACTCAGCACAGGGATGGTGGGAGCCCCTCATAATGGGCACAGCAGGGGTACAGACCCGGGAACTCGGCACAGGGACGGTGGGGGCCCCTCATAATGGGCACAGCAGGTGTACAGACCTGGGAACTCAGCACAGGGATGGTGGGAGCTCCTCATATTGGGCACAGCGGGTGTACAGACCCGGGAACTCAGCACAGGGATGGTGGGAGCCCCTCATAATGGGCACAGCGGGTGTACAGACCCGGGAACTCAGCACAGGGATGGTGGGGGCCCCTCATAATGGGCACAGCGGGGGTACAGACCCAGGAACTCAGCACAGGGATGGTGGGAGCTCCTCATATAGGGCACAGCAGGTGTACAGACCTGGGAACTCGGCACAGGGATGGTGGGAGCTCCTCATATAGGGCAGGGCAAGTCTGTGATGATCCAATATGTTACAAATGCATGAAAAATGCTCTGACCTGGTGGGGATGCCATCGGTCTCTTGCAGGAAGGATCTATCACACTGAAGGTTTGCACAGAGAGTACTTGTGAGTCTGTAAATCTTGTGCGTCACTGACACTCGGGTATGAGGAGAGTTGGTATTCTATAAGGCGAGGTGCACTATCCCATAGCAACCAAATACAGGCATCTCTTACTGATCCAAATGCAGTTAACTGACACTTGTTTGGTTGCTATGGGTTACTGTCATTGTCTATTTGCAACTCTAGGTGGCTCTTTCAGCCTTAATAAGTGCTTTCCCCTGTGGTGTGTGTATCCAATCCATAGATGCATTTGGATTCTGCCTATTTTACAAGTATATTGTTACTCTGGCAACCTGATTCTTAACCTAATACATAAATGAAACCTTTTTACCTAACCTGAACTCTAAAAAGTAACCTGTGTGTGTTGTGTACTTCTAACCCCATTCACTCATTCATTACACACTTCTAACCCCTGCACTCTGTTCATTACATGCTACTGACCCATGAACTCTGTTCATTACATGCTACTGACCCCTGCACTCTGTTCATTACATGCTACTGACCCATGCACTCTGTTCATTACATGCTACTGACCCATGCACTCTGTTCATTACATGCTACTGACCCCTGCACTTTCTTCACTGCATGCTACTGACCCCTGCACTCGGTTCATTACATGCTACTGACCCCTGCACTTTCTTCACTGCATGCTACTGACCCCTGCACTCTACCCATTACAGCTGCTGACCCCTGCACTCTGTTCATTACATGCTACTTACCCCATGCACTCTCTTCACTGCATGCTACTGACCCCTGCACTCTGCTCATTACACGCTGCTGACCCCTGCACTCTGCTCATTACATGCTACTTACCCCATGCACTCTCTTCACTGCATGCTACTGACCCCTGCACTCTGCTCATTACACGCTGCTGACCCCTGCACTCTGCTCATTACATGCTGCTGACCCCTGCACTCTGCCCATTACACGCTGCTGACCCCTGCACTCTGCCCATTACACGATTCTAACCCCCACACTCTGTTCATTACATGCTCTGAGACCCCACACTCTGCTCATCTGCTTATTACATGCTGACACTTGCACTCTGTTCAATACATGCGCCTGGCCCCTGCACTCTTTATGTTACATTATACAGTGAATTCTCCTAGCCAAAGGGTTTATGGTCTCACTAGTTGGTGTTTGCTAAATAGTCCCTAACTATTGTAATAAAGTTCTTTAAATTAGGTTCAGAAAATGGAGGATTTTTTTACATGATTGTGCCGAGGTTTATATGTTTCTGTCTCACATCTCGCTTGGGCCACGTTAATGCAGCATATTTTGTGGTGACAAGGACTGTGGCGGATGTGCGCCATGCATACAGTGAGTAGGTTCAGGTTTTATTTAACCCGATCCCTTGACCAAGCCCCTCCCACTCTCAGCACGATTTGGCCACATCCACCATTCACCGCAGTGCACGTGGCGCGTCACCTCAGCGCTATACTGAGGGGTCCCCGGGATGTCCTAGGTATGTAAAAATCCTAGCAACACTCCTGCTCTTGGTTTAGATAAAACATAACGCTGTGCGGATATAAAAAGTGCAAAAATATGTGCAAATTAAACATTGTCAAATATCATTTTATTTTAAAAGAAGGTGCGTTGGCATCCTGGCTCCGGGGGATTAGTCCAGTCTTGCCCTATAACAAAGAATCAACTGCCCAACCAGAAGCAGAGAGGAGACAATGTACCCAACCCACCGGACTATAGGGAAGGATGGGAGCTGGCCTATACCAGCTTCTTAGGTTCCTTCCATCTTATAAACTAAGATCATATAACAAAGAAGCAAGCAGAAACAGAGCCGTGCCATCAGAGGGGCGATGATGTACCCAACTAGAGAAGAGCAGGAGCTACGGCCAATACCGGCCTTTAAAGGTAGAACTATGAGGTGAGTGATTTTCACTCACAGGATCGGGACGATCGGGACATACCGTCGCTCGCTCACTTCTCGATCTATCCCTGCAGAGAGCCGTGGCTGTCACTCACGGCTCCCTGCAGAGATTCCCCCCCACCCCTCCCCGCTCCGATCCTCCAGACTGGCGGAATCGACGGGAGAGGGGGCGGGCACAGCTGGCTCTGCCTCTGGATAGGCAGGGCCAGCTGTCAATCACGCAGTTGGGCGGATCACGACAGCAATGTCGGGATCCGTTCCGGCTGCGGCGTCTCAGTATACCGCAAGCTGTAACTGAGCTTTGGGTGACGGGAGGACGCTAGTTTGTGTTCTCCCGTGACCCTTAGGAGAACTACGGGGAAAAGCCCCGACCCCATAGTTCTCCTTTAAGCTCCCTTGCTTCTTATAAAAGAATAAATCAAATTGCTTGGCATGGACAATGTTTCTATTTGAGATGAGCGAACTTCTGGAAAACTTCATCAGTCGTGGTTCTGAGATGAAATGGTGGGACCTGGTGGTGACACTGGCAGTCAAGCTAAAAGGTCCCCAGGTAGCAGCAACTGGAGAAGTCTGAACGGTCTCGGAAACCCGACCACCGAAAATAATGATAGAATTCAGATTCGATTTGGTCCAAATGTAACACCGTCTGGATTTCGGGATCATCTCTGGGTGATTTTTTTACCAGCCTACGAAAGGCGCTCTGCCCGGCATGTTACATTTAGCAATGACAGTGCCAAGCAGGAAAAAAGCCCATTCCAAATCTCACAGCCAACAGTTCTCATAACAACGGCTGCCAGCGACATGTCTGGGCACGGACCGTCGCTCCGAGACACAGAACGGTGGCGCTGCTTTGAAGGACATTTGTTAGCGTCTAATGGATGTCAAATGACATTATCCAACAGCTAGGCGGAGACGCTGCGATCCGTTTGCGTACGCAGCTACGCTGAGTGAATTTGCTTTCATTACGGTGTGCGGGGGACAGTATAAGCAGATGCGCACGGCAACCAATCAGCTTCTCTCTTCAGTTTGTTCAGTTAAGATTTGAAAATGAAAGAGAGAAGCTGATTGGTTGCCGTGCACAGCTGCTCCAGATTTTGATCAATCCCCCCCC